CTGTATGCCAAGCCAAAATTAACTCTGCTTTCACTTTCATGCCAGCAGAACTCCCTGAACCTCCTGGCTCCGGCCTCAGCCCCAGCTCCACGCAGACCCCAATCCCCAGGACACAAACCCAGGAGCAAACCACCTTTTCTCATGCTAACAACTCCATTGCAATAACATCTTCAGAGGCCACACTCAAGGTCTCAGGGAAAAGTAAACCAGTGAAGTGCTTAATACTCCAATGGCGCATTAACTCATTCACACCCAGACAGTCCTGCCAAGCAAGGAGGAGTTTTCTTTCATGCTTTCTTGATTTATATTTTCACAGCTGTCAGAGAGAGAAGCATGTAGGAAGCACATTATGTAAACCACCCGATTAGGCTAAAATCCTCCGTGTGGATCACACCTCCTTCCCTCTCCTCTTCCACTGCAGTTTCATGCAGAAAGTAGAGGGATTTTTTTGTCTGTTCCTGAAAGCAGATTACTTTTTTAAAGGTTAAACTGGTCATTATTTGCACTGCTGTCCTTGTTACAACACATGACGGCATACAAGGAAAGGAGCAAATTCTCATCCTGACGCTTTGCTCCTTGCAGCACCGCTGCGCGCAGCTCTGCCCGCCTCGCACCCCAGCCCTGGTGGCGGCAGGGAGGTTTAGGAGCAGTCTCCTTGTATTTGTTAACTGTAATGAGACAGGAAGCCATGGCTACAGAACGGAGAGATCAGAAGAATGTAATCTTTCAAAAACACAACAGTTTTGCGGGAGAAAAAAACCCAAACCAACATCAGAAACCAGAAATTATTATTCCACTGGTCTGTTCTGTGTCTCACAGGAAATAACAAGCAACTGTACGAAACCCTTCACGTCCAGAGAGGTAATTCAGAAATCCTCTCTTCTTTCAAATTTTCCAAATCTTAAAAGCCGTTCTTGAGGAAACAACATATTCTGGGCAAAGCTGAAGCATGTCTGCAATTTGTCTGAGGGACCTGGTGGCAAGCCCCAACAGAAAGCAAAACTAATGCATGCATCTTTGTTCTGATTTCATGTGGAACTTTAAAATAAAAACCAAATGCTACAGCGCCCATTCCCAAAAGTCATTTCAGGATTGCTGTGAAAGACAAAACAGAGCAAACGCTCCTGCTTTGAGATGGTGAAAGCAAGCACAACAGCTGGAGCCACCAGCACCAGCACTGCTCTGCCAGTAGTTTAAAATAACTGTATGCAAAGCAGTCCACAAAAATATTTCAGACTTCACCTTTAAAAAAACACTTTTTTTTTTGAAGTATAAACTTAGTGTTTTCTCTACCTCACAATATGTCTTTTCTTCCAGAACAGTCATATCGGGACTGATCTAAACAGTTGAGGACAGCCAAAACACCTTTAACAAAACTGTTCCCAGCAAGCTGGAAACATCGGCTGGAAATACCCAGTTTCATTCAAAAGACTGCTCCCCCCAGGACTGGCTGTAGCCCTGCAAGAAGAGCACCACTGAACAGAACTGTTCCAACAACTGGGTCCAGAAGTGCCCGGTCCCATCAGAGCCCCCCTGGCACCGCACTGCACTCCCAGCCCAGGTGGGCCCAGGCTGTGCAGTGGGGCTGGCTCAGCCCGGGCAGCGATGGGGTTAAGGCAGTGCCAGACCGCAGGCGCTGGCGGCCGACCAGGAGGGACATGGGAACCAGGGCAGCCAGCTATAAAGGCCTTATTGTAGCAGCCCACTGGATTGGAAATGACTTGTAGGCCTAATGAAACAAAACTTTGGCAGTAAAACAGAATGAAAGGAATGAGACAATAAAAGACAGGAACAAAGGGAGCAGAGTTGTTTCAGCTTAGGAAAATAAGCTCACTTTGTTGTTGGGAAAAGCCAAAGCCGATTAGGATAAACCAATGACTAGGCATAAGTCTTCCAAACTAATTACACAGTTCGCCATGTGAAGTGTAATTGCAAGTCACAAAATAAGGACCGCATTACTTTCACAGGGGCTCAACGAAGGGAGTGTTACCCAGGACAGCCGGACCCGCAGAGGTCCCTCACTGCCCTCGCTTGCAGCTGGAGATGTGCAGGATGCGCTCGCCCTGACAGAAGTGCAGACAGAGGAAGGCCCCTCCGCCACCACAGCCCCAGGCGAGGTGCAGCAAGGCTCTGCTCTGCTCCCAAACTGCTTCTGGAAGCACTGAGCACCCAAGAGGTGCTGAGCCCGGGTTGCAGAGTGGGCATGCAGAGGGCAGCCGGGCCCCTCCTGCAGCAGGCCGTGTGCCCGCAGCACCAGCCAGCCACGAGGCCTTAATTACACTGCTCTGTTACGGTTTTTGATTGTATGCAGGTCACTTTTCCCTATCTTCCTCCGAATGATGGCTGGGATTCCCACAGATCTTCAGCTGTACTGAAAGAAATAACTATCATATCAGAAGCTTCACAATAAAAGTCTCAAGAGTTATCATTACCACATTTGTTGGTGTGCTAGCTGGCAGGCATTTCCACCTGGTGAAGTCAGGAAAGAAGGTTTATTAAATGCAGTTTTCTTTCTACTGGAGAGAAAGGTTCTGACATTTACTTTTCAGAAAGAAACTGTTTCAAATTCAACACTTCAGGGCCCTTCGTGCCAACTCCTGTTAAATTAGCGCGTCAGCTCGGCCCAGAGCTGCATGGCTGTAGCCACGGACTGCACTGAGAGCAACCTCCAGCTACCAAAACAACCGCCCCTGGTTGCAAAGCTCTTCTCTGCAGCAAGTACAGACAGGATTCCAAGAAGCACAGCAGCCGTTAGGCAATTTTATTCACACCAATAAGAAAGCTCAGCATCTCAAAGAGGAAGTCACCTGAGATGTTCTTATCAAACATGGGCGGTTCTGCTTTTCTCTAATTATGTAACGCAACTGCCTTTTATTTTAAGAAAGTGCTAAGCAAACGCAAACCTTGCCACCAGTCCTAACGCACTGTTTCTACTGCAATGGCTCGACGGGAGAAGGGTGTGCTGAGCTGGACACAGACACGTCATCGGTCCCTGCCACCACCAGCCTGCAACCAAAAGCAGCAAGTGAAGTTAAGGCCTGGGAAGGGGATGAGCATGGAAAAAAAGGAAGCAGCTCCTACAGGTCCCACAGGGACAGCCCTCACTGTAGCTGAGCAACTCACCCACCGCAGTGCACTGAGCCACCTGAATCAGCTGGACCACAAGTCCACGATTCCTGGGGTCAGTAACTACCTCTGCTCCTTCTTACAACTGGAGCCTGGCAAGAATCACATCAGACACCCCCAAACCAAACTGCCAGCTGACAAACAACAAAGTGCAGTCAAGAGCACTTGAGCGCCTCCAAAATGCCACTGTCTTCAAACTCTCCTCCTGGTCACAACGTAGCACCGAGCAGCACCAGACAGGGATGCACCTGGAAAATGCTACTGGGCAGCACCTGGGCTGGCCCTGAGTCCCACAGCCACCCAGTCCCAAGGACTGCCAGCCTCAGCAGGATGAACCCCAGCTTTACTGCCAAAGGAAAGGGTTTCAGCCCTGGTCACAACTTACACGATTATTTCCAGCTCCTTCATTTTTCAGCCTTCAACTGACAGTACCTGAAAAGTATCTGATTCTCCAGAAGTGTTGCTTTTTGAAAACCCTTCTTTAAATTCAAGAAAGGCAGAGCACAAGAGCAGGAACTGAAGCATCCCGAAGCACAAGTCACTACTGAAAAAATGCGACCTGCTTGTCTGCGTTACCAAGGACTGTAAAACTGCAAACATGAAACTACCAGATGGTGAAATTAAAAAGACTAGATTGAGAGAGCATCCAGCCAATATGCAAAGCACTTTTATTGAAACTATTATTAACTTCAAAAATACAGGTTAGAGGAGTTCCGCAATTAGAAGTAACTACAGAAGAAACATCCAAAAGCTCGTGTAATCCTTTAATAAAAGGCTCAGCAGGCTGTAAACATCCTGCCGGAATCGAAGATTATTATTGAAAATAAAATGAATGGCTTGAAAAACAACTATCAATCCAGCACAGGAACAGTTTATAAACTCCCCTCCTCAGCTCTCAACAAAATACTGCCTGGCCAAGGCATTTCAGAGCCAGATAAAAGAAACATAAACTAACTACAAGGAATGGGAGCTGCTTTGCTTTGGGATATCCCACTGTGTCCTCAGGCAATCGAGCATCTAAATCATCAGTTGATGCAATCCAAAAGGCAGAAACCGAGCTGCACAGAGCACCGAAGGTTCAGCGCCCATCGGGAGCACTGAGTTCAGGGCCTGCCCACCCTGCCCCGCACAGCAGCTCACCCACAGCCAGCAGTGCTGCGCCACATGGGGGCTGGAGCCCAGCATAGGGTGTGAGCTGTTTCATGCAGAACAAAGATTCCGGCAAGGTTCAGGCTTCCTTCAGACAGCACTGCCTCCATACATTAACTCTCCTTTGTTTTTAATGACTTCAGGATTCTATGTGTACTTCACAAGGATCTTGCTGAAGATTTTTTTAGTAAGAAATAGAGTAATCTGGTGACTTCCATACCCCACTTGCTATTCACATGGTTCCTAAAGGCATTTCACAACTTCACAAGCTCTCTCAGACACCTCTATACCTCCTTTAGCTGTCGGAATCAGGGCTCACAGGAGGTTTATGTTACTGAGCAGACAACTCCATAATCATAGAATCACTGAATTACTCAGGTTGGAAGGGACCTCAAGGATGAAATCATTCAGGTAAGGGTTACGTTCCTCCTGAACAAACTCAAATTCAACTCCCAGTGAATTTTTTTGTTACTGTTTTGATCTTTTTAACCCTAAGCAGTGTTGACAATGCTGGATGATGCTGTACACATTCAAACGCAACAAACAATAGGAACCACAAAACAAACTTAAATAGGCTTCAAAAAATTATACTGCAAAGCAGAAAATCTGGCTCTCCTTTGAGCACAGGCCTCACTGCACTTCTGTTTTTTCAGAACACTTTAAAAAGAAAGGGAAAAAAAAAGAAGAATTCAAAGAATGCAGTGCTCACTCAGGCAGGAACTTACCTTGCCAAACTGTTCAAAGTATTGCTTTACGTCTTCCACTACTGTATTAGCCGATAATCCACCTACAAATATTTTCTTTGTTCTTGTGACCATCTGCAAGAAATTACAAGACAAGCATATGGTTTAACCAGATTATTTCAAACAATATGTGGAAAAAAATATATTCTTCAGATGCCATCCCTAGCCCAGTTAATGAGAATATTTCTCTACAAAAGCAATTCAGATTCTATTTGATTAGATACTTCTTTTTTCTTTGTCTTGTTTTGTTTTTATTTGAGAAATGGATGAGTAAAGGCACTCAATAACAACTCTAGCCCCCGGATATTTTTTTTTAATAAATGATTTTTATTGTGCTTCTCAATGCAAATATAAGGGAAAAAGGATTCCTCATAGCTACCATCTCAGAAAGGCATGGCATTTTCCCCCCTTTTTTCCTAAAGACAAAGCACACTCTTTAGCAGACATAAGGCAATTCCATCCAACTGAACTGCCCTGTTATTAAGTTTCCATGGGTGGCTTTGAAAGGAACTCGCGCAATTACTTCAAAATTCTTCAGGAGGTAAGACCCCACCGCCCAGGCTGGGCCATACGAAGCAAAGGAATGACGTTGGACTCTCTGTGGAGCACTTTTAGGTGAGCCATTACCCAAACCCTTTGAGATGGACAGGACTCAGCCCAAGGACCCGAGCCCTTAGGAGCAGCAGCAGTAGGGCAGTGGGTGTCACTGCAGGGCCAGTCCACCACCAGTGGGGCACCTCACAGCAGCACGGAGCCCTCACTCCCATCCCTGCTGCCATTCAAATCAATCACAGTAGGCATTTCCCTCCATCACTCCCTACCCGTGCTTTACAGAGCTGCATTTTTTTTTTTTTTTTTAAGTTAAAAAGAAAAGGAAAAAACAGTGTAAAAATTCAATTATTTTTTCCCGAATGCAATCTAGGACTCTGAAATTGAAGCCCAAGCATATATTTTTCTGTATAAAACTGTCATTTACAAATAAAGAATTGGCTAAAGCCAACTAGTAACTAAAGAATTTTGCAGGGTGCCAGGAGCCCTCTGCCTGCTGGCATCTGATGGAGATCAGGCCAAGCTGCTGTTGTTACACAAAAGAGGGAGGAAAGCAATTATTCTAAAGCAATATTTGAAATTATCTTCATTTTTATATTTGACCAAGAAAGAAAGAGAGAAATACTTCTTTTAGAAAGAAAATTGGAGGTTTAAAAAAAAAAAAAAAGAGAGAGACTATTTTGTTTCAATAGCTTCAGTCAAAGAAAATACAGGTAATGACAAGCAAACTCACAACGTTTTAATACTGACTGTGTGCTGTGAGATGGGAAATGGTTTCAGAAATCAGCTTCTGGGTACAGGAGTGAAGGCCAAAACGAACCTGCCCTCACACTCCCTGCTCTCCTGCAGGCTGCAGCACTCGGCGCTCACTGCCCAGCAAAGAACTCAGCCCTGGGGCGGCAGGCGCTGCTCGGCGGGGGGAAGGCCAGGCCAGGCTGGGGGCACCAGGCACGTAGAGCTGAGCCAAGCAAGGAGTTTCTATTCAAAACCAAAGACTTTCTAAAATCAGAACGTTTCATTTGGCTGTGAAAATACACCTGCATATCTTTAACCAAAACATCCTACAATTCTACAGAAACACTTATGCACACAGGTGAGTGCAGGAGTTGGGCTTGCTGACCCTTACTGGCCCCTTTTCACTTGGGATGTTCTATGATACACCAGGAACAACCCGCTGTGCCATCCGTCTGCACTCACTGGCAGCCACTGAGGGCCCTCGCAGCGCAGTGCCAGCAGGCAGAGACAGGAAGCCATCGGAGCGGATCCATCACAACCCCTCTGGGCAGTGCTGAGGGCCGGGCCAGCCAGCAGCACCCACTGCCAGCCCCGCACCTCAGCAACGTGCAGCAAAGCAGAGCTGCCGATGGCTATCGGAAGGACTGCACAAAACGTAGATTTTACATCTCTGGAGTCTTTGCATGCTGGCGGTGTCTGTGCTGTAGCGGGAATCGACAGGGGAGAGGGAGATCTAATGGTGGTTATGAAGTCCGCTAATTGTGAGTATCTGCAGAATTGCTTTGTTTGTGCACCGTGTTGGTGTTGCAGTTAATCAAAACACAACATGTGACTACAACTGCGAAGAGTCACTCAAGGTTACAATCTCTCTCTTGGCTCTTCAGAAATACATCTGCCTTTGTGTTCTGCAAACACTTCAGCTGGTGCAGAAGCAGGAAAAAACGCCGTGCTTCAGCAAGACAGCTCTTTCGGTCTGATGTCGTTTTTTGCTAGGCTAAGGTCGTAATGAGATCATAATGAGGTTTGTGGCGTATCTCGCGAACCTTCCCAGAAGAAGAGGCTGAAGATTGCCTCTGGAAACGAAGATCCCGTCCCACAGCAGCGCACCAGAGCCCCGCGAGCCTCAACCCAGCCCCGGCGACACGAAGGGACGCAGCGCTCTGCAGAGGTTGTGCCTCCAGCTCAGCACCCGTCCGTGCCCGCACATCAATTCTGTTCTTAGGCTTCTTTGTTCCCTCCCCCAACTACTCTCTCTTTCAATCACAACTACAAAAATGGGCAAAGGGGATTTATGAAAGAATTTTTGGAATTCAAAGAACTTCAGAATCTCAGGCACCAAACCCCCAGCACCTGCAGAGCGCCGAGGCCCAACGCAGGAATTCTGTTTGACTTCAGGACAACGGCTGTAAGAATCATTTCCTTCCCATTTTCAACATCTCAGAATGGTGGGAATGGACTAGAGTACTAATAATGAATCTGCATCACAAATTGCTGAAATTAGCATTAATTTCAGATTAAACTAATTATGCATATATAACAGTTTTGCAGAGCACTTTCCTCTTGTGCTTCTGAGTGTGTGTGTGGGTGCATGTGTATTCCAGCTTGCTCACCTCATCTGCAGTTTGACATTTCATCATTTCTAATGCATCCGCCTTCTAAATAGGTTTGTAATTGGAAAAATCATCTCTGGTATATATGCTGAACTGCATTTTATACCCCATTGTGTTGTACATCCAAACTACAGCATTACCTCTAATTAAAAACAACAATAACTCATGTAATAGGGGAAGTGATCTTGTTAACTAAATTGCTAGGCTTCTTTGGCAGAACAAAAACCATAAGCAAGAATTCTCCAGGTTTTTTGTTTTTTTTTTTTCCTCCAGGATCCTCACAGCAACTTCCAAAAAGCTATTAAGAAACAAACCGGAACAGTGCAAAGCCCACGACGAAAGAACGAACATTTACTGAAAGCTGCCAACTTTTCTCCATTCACAAAGTGAGCAAACACCCCAGTAGCCATCCTCTCAGCCAGAACCACCGTATGGTTGAGAAACGACAGACGTATTTCCTGTATAGTACTACATACCTTCAGCTAGCAAACACTAGGCACTCAAAGCTCCCCAAGAGCAAGAAAAACTCAATCCTGTGCAAAGGCAGCACGGCTTTACGTGCCACGTACAACATGCTTAAGTATTCAAAATAGGATTTCAGCAAGACTTAGCCAGTGCAAATACCTTGTGCCTGACCCCTGCGTAAGCTAATGTCATCCTGTGAGAACCAACGCCAGCTACAGAAGGGACACAGCAATGAAAGGGCCCTTTAATTCCACCACGCAGCACAGATTCCTGGTGGGGTCACTCAGTTCCCTTAATTTCTGTGGAAAATACAGACAGACTGTTTTCTCCCAAGCCATTCATGAACAAAAACAACTTAGTCCCTGCTGTCTTCCTAGTTTTCAGCTGTCTTTGGTTTTGATGTTAAGTTTGAGAGAGCTGGTTTTTGGCTGATTGTTTGCTGGTTTTGCCCCCTGCAAGATGCCCGTGGTATTGGCAGGAGGCAGAGCAAGCAATATGGGTTTTATGCAGCAGAGCAGCACCAGCCAGAGCCATCTGCAGGGCTGCACCCTGGCAGGGCCCTCCCCAGTGCTGTCCTGGCTGCAGTCAGCCTGCAGAGCTCCTGGGAGCAGCAGCAGCACAGCCAGGGCACTGCAGCCCCACACACACAGCCACGACCAGCTGCTCACGCTCCTGAAAATTAGCCCCAGCTGGGAGAGCTCAGCATTTCTTTGAGCAAAACGTGGCTTCAAGTTTCATATCAAAAGATACAGTGAAATTCACCAGAGCCGGACTTCACACCCTCCAGAGAACAGGAATAGATCACAGCCCCTCAGCCCTGATACAACTACTTGCTCTGAATCCCACAGGGCTGTTCCCTCCTCCTCCACTCCAGGTTACTCTTTTATGCGTACGGGAAGCAAGGTCTGGAGGCAGGAAGAGGAGAACACAGCAAATCTATTTAAATCCCTCAGTCGTGTTAGCTCCCCACACACGGTTATGGGAAGAAAGGTACCTAAATATTCACTGAGTACAGACAACTCATCCACCACACCAGCCTGATTACTGCTCAGCAGCACTTCAAAACTGCACTGATATGTTAAATGAAGACAATTATTGCTTTAGGAAGACATCTCAGGACCAGAAAAGGAGATCACTGTTCAATATGAAGACGTACCAGGGGCAGGATTTTTGCAATATCCACCTAATGTGGGGACAAAGGTCCCAGAGGGAAGCAATTTAGCCTATAGATTTTGGAGCAGAGTCCTCTTGCAGAACTTCACCTGGCACTGCAGGACGGGAGGGATGGCGTTCTGCCCAGGGCCCTCCACACAAAGGCACGGCAGTAGTGCTCAGTGGGACCACAGCAGAGCTGACCATGACAAGGTTCATCAATTCCACTATTCATAGTTTACCATTTTCTGGAAGGAAACGGTATGTGCCGCATCCAAAAAACAACCAGAAAGCTCTGTCCTCCACCAGGACACCCAGCAGTAAAAGAGCACCTTTACAAGGGCACGTTCACAGCGGATATGCAGCAGGGCTCTCAGCGAAGCAGCCTCTTCGCCAGGCTGCACCAAAGTAGGTCAGGGTGGGAAGCCCAGCTCCCATCGACGCAAAACCCCCAGCTAAGAGTCTTCCCAATATTTTTGTGATTTGAGTCATTACGACCCCACTAAAATCTATATGAGTTAGAGCAAAAACAGTAGCCAAAGCTGAGTGCCTTTGATTTGCTGT